CACTTTTGGACGTCACATGTGACGCCCAAAAAGCGGCGTCACATGTGTGCTCTATATATTTCCCCACTCCCTCCATTCAATTCACACCTCTTCTCTCACTCTTCATATCTCTCTTCTCCACCAACATTCCTTTATCTTTAATTTAGTATTTGAATTTTATTTCTTATTCTATTTAAAAATGAGCTCAAATCCTGATTCTGTTCGTGTTGTGTTATATTACAATGGTAGGAAGGTAGAAGGTCGACGAGGTGTCATCTTCGATGGTGAAAAAAGGCCGACACGTATCCAACACAACACAACCATTGGCGAACTGCATCAGAGAATTCGGCAGAAGTTAAGTCTTCCAGACAACTAATGTGTCACTGAGATCACGACAAGGGTGTGGTAAGGTGATAAATACATTAGTTTGAAAGTGTTTGACGATGAAGACTTGGAGATGACAATGGAAGAATTTTGCAACCAGTCAAGGACAGATTTTCTAGAGTTGTATGTCGACATCGCCGCAACCGAGAATGCTCCCTTACCGGTGATGTCAGTTTATTTAAATTCTCCCCGTCTTCCAGCTTCTCCTGCCGCTCATGCGTCTCCAGTTGGTAACTTTTCTGAGGGAGATGAAAATGATCCGACTTGGGAAATGCATGACGAAGATGACGATGACGACGATGAAAATATGGCAATTGAAGAACATCTTCTGGCGGAGGATGCTAGTGCTTCAGAAGGAGATGAATCCCGTGAGATGGGTGCGTCTCAAATCCCAATATTCCATCAACCAGTCGTCGCGCAAATGCCGCAGTTGAATGACGTTGCGTCTGCCCGTTCGGTATTCACCATGAAGGTAATTGCTCTCATTTGTATATAACTGAATAGATAACTGATTTAATACCTGAATTAGTAAGTTTGTATTAAAAAATTATAATCCGCAATTGCAGGTGACACAGATGTTATTCCTTTTTGGGAAGGAATTCCGCATTATTCCTACATTGATTGGAGTTATCAGAGCGAACAAGAATCATGTACTGATGGTTCTGTCTCTGGATCGGCTTCAATACAAGGTCCGTGGCAACTGGGTGACATGTTATTTGTCAATCAAGAATTTGCAACAAAAAAAGATGTCCAAATGGCACTTAAGCACAACCTCATTAGGGAGCATCAAGAAGCCATTGTAATTGAGAGCACGCATGCAAAGTTGTCTATGAAATGTTGTGCGTATGATCAAGGTTGTCCGTGGCGCGTAAGGGCGATCAAACCGGTGTTTCGTGAAAATTGGAAGATTACGAGATGAGGTGAAAAACACGAATGTGTGAATGAGCACATTTCTCAGGGTCATAGACAGCTCGATGCGGACGTTATTGCAGATCTCGTCATAGGTACGTATTTATTTGCCGTATTGACATGTCAATGTTTACGTACTTCCGTGCAATTAAATTCGTTCGATGTTATCGAGGCACTAGTATCCTCTTCAATGCTTTGATGATAAAGTCAGAACCATCTGTGTCAATCTCTTTGGTGCAAGAAAGGATAACTGTTAAATATGGCTTTCAAGTTTCCTACAGAAAGGCGTGGTATGCGAAGCAAAAAGCGATGGCAATTATGTACGGTGATTGGGAGGAATCGTATGCTTTTTTGCCTAGGTGGTGCGAATACATGTTTCGTTTTTCTCTAGGTTCATTTTATCATATACAAACAAATGATCTTTATGCGGAGCAGAGCTTAGTTTCTGGAAAAAAGGTTTTTCATCGCATTTTTTGGACGTTTAGACAATGTTGTGAGGCGTCCAAATTTGCCAAACCCGTCATACAAATTGATGGAACACATTTATATGGGAAGTACAAAGGAAAATTGTTGGTGGCCACAGCCCATGATGGTAATAATGAATGTTTACCGATCGCTTTTGCCATCGCAGAAGGCGAAACTTTGGAAGCATGGGATTATTTTCTCGTATCCATGCCCACATACCAGCATCCATAATGTGTGCCCGGCTCTGGATGAGGAGGAATGGGTGGAGCAATGGGTGAGAATCATATCTATGCCCACATTTGAAGGAGAATATGGCAACCACCCATGTCAGTTCGACGGGCATCTGTCAATTCACACAAATTCCTGAACAAGTGTGTTAAAACCGCAGATCCCCAGCTGAATCGGCCAATGTCCTCAAATCCTCCACCTAGCAACGGGACAAGCCGGTCAGCAACCAAAATTGCTACCTCCAGACTTGTCTGCCAACAACCAAGTCCCCAACATCCGGGCAATGTGGGCTTTTGTGAAGTAGATCTCGACAGCGTGATTCCCCTCATGATCAGTCCACCGGGTATAATGCCGATCCAAGAATGAGATGCAGAGGTCGCCGGAATGATGGAACTCACCGACCTCTGGAACATGTCCAAAAACAGCAGCACAAGCAGCGTGCCAATCCTCGGAGGTCGATCCGGTGACGACATTGCCGTCAGTCGGCAAGCCTAATATGCCTGCCACATCTTGTAAGGTGATCGTCATCTCACCTTGGGTCATGTGAAAGGTATGTGTCTCTGTTCTCCACCTCTCGACCAGAGCACTAATTAAAAATGTATCGATCTGTGATAAATTACGCAGTTATCACGTGTTAACGAATTTTATTGAATAATTACATAAATTCAAAACGACATAAATAACATACTTGGATATGTTGCATCCTGGCAACATGTATGAATCCCGCCTGTCTTAGGTACTCTTCGACAACCGGTGGAATAGCACCGGTAGGTGGCCCCCTTGTGGCTTTCCACGTCTGGTCTTAATTTTTCGTACATGCTCTGTATTCCACACTCGCTGTGAAATATGCGCTTTTTGCGCCCTCTTTCGAAGGACCTCTCACCTGTACGGCCCAGGGATGATCCACATGCTGGGATCAGTGGGCTCTACATCCGACTCAGATCCCGATGAAGATGATGACTCATCCATTATCCTCAACTATATAATATAAAACAACATTTAAATTAATCACATGTAACAACCCATTTTATTTACAATTTAGTTAAGCAGTGACATAATTGATTATCACAAAAATTAAGCATGTGCGTCATTTATTTAACTAGAATCGAAATTTACGAAGTCCCGCCAAAACGTAGAACAGTTATTTATTTGCAATTAAATAATAATAATACATCGGACAAAAATAATATAATACTAACTGAATACTTAACCCTAGGTCACTACCAACTTGTCCAATACGTACTAATCATCACACCTAACTAACTACAAAGTTATGCACTCCCGCATTAATAACATCATACATACGAAATTTACGAAGTCCCTAACACTATTTATAAATCACTAATTAATATGCTAAACCCTAATGCATAATTAAAAATTAATAATAATAACTACGTAATAATAAAATTACTATATCACTACAACATTCATAGCATGCCACAAAATTTCTAAGTGACTATCCTAATGTTCCAAGTCTCTAATATACAATCAATCCTAACATGTATTACTAACTAGCACTGTTATTTAAATGTATACGTATGAGGTATTAAGACCTTACCTACGTTGGCAGAGCTTCACTACGAACCGCGGTTAGAGAGAGGTTAGAGAGGTAAATGAGTAAGGAATGAAAAAAAGAAAGTGGGATATATATAGGTTGCACATGAGACGCTCCCTTTGGGCGTCATATGTGACGCTCCAGTGGGACGTCTCATTGTGTAACAGATGTGTAATTTTTACAAAATAACATTAATGCATAATTATTTAATTTAATTGCATTATTTTAATTTTTTTGCTGTGTGCTGTTCTTTTGGATCCCCTGCTGCTCCAGTTACGGTACAGCTGCTCCAATACTAGATCATCTGCTCCCTCATAAAGCTTGCTATTAATTCTTGGATAACCGTAATTTATTAAAATTGTGTGAACCATTTTAAAATTATGATTACCTCTGAAAGACATTTTTATACCTATTTTTTTTTTATAAACATTTTTTAATACCTATTAACTACTAATTTAAACGATTTTTTCTATTTTATTTTTGTAAAGTTCTCTAACCAGAAAATGCCTCTAAATGAGTCCAATTTATAATTCATGATTAACTTTACCATGACCAAGTCTTTCGCATTCAACAAACAACATGTGGACTTCTATAAAATTATTTCTTTTGTATCGTGAGCGTTCAAAAAAATATAAGAATAAAATATGGCAGTCTCATTTCTTGGTTAAGCAATAAATTTCCTAGATATATGCCAAAATTCATTCGCCAGCAAATGCATCAAGACTAGCCAGACAAAATATATAAAACACACAACATGTTATCAAAAAAAAAAAAAAAAACACACAACAATAAAAAATGGTTAAGGCAATAAAAATCAAAAAAAATTTGCTAAGCTTATCCAAATTCAAATAGTAATTTCTCTACCTGTTCTCTCCATCTCCCTGTCTCTTTTAGCCGGCTAATGTAATTAGAACCACTAAAACGAGCTCGACTCAGCGGATCAGTTCGTCCAACTCTCTAAATGAAGTGAGACGGGTTAAGTTTTTCAACTCATCTCAAAAGTGAGACGAGACAGGATGAACTCATTTTTTGACGGATTGATGGCGGACATAAGCTCGGGCTGGCGGACCAACCCGACAAATAGAACAGGGGCAGACTAAGTTTTTCAACCCACTTTCAAAAACGGGACGGAGCAGGCTACCTTATTTTTTAGCGAATTGGTGGCAAGGTAAAACCAGCTGTCCACTTTGCCATCTCTAAATGTAATTCTTCCCCCTTCTATCATCATATTTTGTCAGGGAAGATCTATCCACAATTTTTTTTTATAAATTACAATAAATATAATTAATTATACACTTTTAATTAAAGTATAACCGATCGTATTTATTAAGATTTATAAAAATTTATAAACTCAGAATCTGTAAATATAACCTTCATCTTTTGTTATCTGTGTATTCTAACAGCAGTTTATAAAAATCAGAAAGCAGAGTGAATGAGAATTCAAATTGGAGATCCAGAACAAACAAATTAAAATAAGGCATCGAACAATACATCATATCATATTACCACATCACAAATCACAACAAAAGAAACAGATCCACTGCAATACAAACACATGACCAAAAAAAAAAAAAAAAAAGCTTACAACAACTACCACTCTGCTTCAAACAGATACCCTTTTCACATTACATTATTCAAACACTGGTTTGGTCCTTGAGCATTCACACGAAACTTCAAGCAAGCTTAACCTCAATAGTCTTTGGCTTCTTAGGCTCCGGAGGAGGCAATTTCTCCACCGTAACACTGAGAACACCGTCTTGGCACACGGCGGAGATAGCATCAGTGTTGGCATTCTCGGGGAGAACAAACTTGCGCATAAACTTGCCAACCCTTCTTTCCATCCTCAGATACTTGGCCCCGTCTTTCTCTTCCTCTCTCTTCCTCTCTCCACATATCATAAGCATATTGTCATCTTCCACCTGAACCTTTATATCCCCAGATTTCAACCCTGGCATGTCAATCACGAACACGTAAGAGTTCGGATATACCTTCACATCCGCAGGAGTTGCAGCCATTGCCTTAGCATCTCGAACGTATGTTCGTGTCGGAGCATTGAATGTCTTGTCGGAAGCAGTGTCGTCCGGCAGGTCCATCATATGGTGTAGAGTGTGGAACATCGGAGAATCCAAACCCATCACCCTGAAATCCATCTTAGAGTTGCAAAGGATGTTGCTGAGAATGTAAGAAGTAATTTTCTTTGAGATATCTTTCTATGGAGACAAAGGTGGTGATTATGATAATTTAAAAAGTCTCGGGGGAAGAAGAAAATGGATGGTTCTGGAGAAATCAATGTTCTCAGGACCTTCTAGTAGTTTCGGTTACAAATTACAAGATCCGAACTGTGTGGGCCCTACTTGGAAATTCGAATAAGGACATAGGAAGAGAACACGTGGCTTATAGTTGTATACGTTCAATTCTTCTACCTTTGTTTCTAAGGATATTTTTTCTAAAGTTCTATTCTTCTAGTAGCCTCCCGAACCTTGTGGAATTTTTTTTTTCCCTCCTTTCCCATTAGGAGATTTTGTGGTTTGGATCTGGGCTCATTTAAGGACCAATAAATCAAAAATACTATGATTAATAATTAATTAATTATGAAACGATGAGAAGCAGAAATTACTTTATGTTAGATGAATGTTGTCAATTATCAATGACTGAAAATAAATAAATAAAATCTTGTGCATACATTTAAGAAATATTATTACGTATATCGGCATCTATCTATCTTTATAGAGGAGTTTTAGAGTCTACGAACCAATTTCGTTTTCACACTTAACCGGTTAATAATAATGATAATGAAGAAAAAAAAATGACACGTGTCTGTTTTAGATCTCACGAACCACATTCATTTTCACACTTAACCAGTTAATAATACTAAAAATAATAATAAAAATACAAATTAATGCCACATGTCTACTTTAGAAATGAAAATTATATACAAAGTAAAAATTAAATGAAAAATAAAAACATCAATTTAATGAGTCAAGCTCATATCATAAGCTCAATTTGTTGAGTCAGCTGACTCTAGTGATCGTTATGGAATCAACAAAGAATCTTTTGATCGACATATATATACATGGAAGTGGACTTTTTTTTGTGCATGTGAACTTCTTTCTTTATAGATTTGTTACTCTTGGGGCTTTTCAATCTTACGCCCACATAGACTAGTGCTGAGTGGGGTAGATTGTCCCTTGGCATGTTTGATGAATATAAGGCTACTAAATAAGTTTATATTATACGTTATAATATTTTTAATTGTTTAGAGTGATCATCGTATAGTATAAGTTTATACACTACGATCTCTTAATACATCAAAATGATATATAACTTAATCAGACCAAAGGGGATGAGATTAGACCTGATAAAAAATTGATGTATTAATATTATTGACTAGTGCAATTCTCATGAATTAAAATATTATTTTAATATTAATATATTAAAATAGAAATCAATTTTTTAAAAGATTAATTTTTAAAATATTGGAGATTTTTATTTTTATAAAAATTAATAATTTTTTGAATAGATTTTTAAAAAAATTAATCTCATGACATATTTGAAAAAAATTATCTTTATTAAAAGGTACTTTTGTCAAAAATATTTATTTTTATCCTATCTAGTATTATACAGCGTGTTATTAGACACTAAATGATATTATCTAATACAATACATTATCTTATATAATATCATGGCAAACGCTGGATAGTATTAAAATTTAACCAGATCTTATAAAATCAGGCCTTATGCTATTAGGTTGTTACGATCACGACAAGTATACCGGTCGTACAAGTAATAAAGTAACGAGTAAGATGTCATTCCTACGAGGATTAATAGAACCAAGTACTATTCTCTCTATTCCCACTAATTTGGACAGATCAATAGGTGTAGAGAAAAGTAATTTTTAATGAAAGAACTAAAAATAAAGACAATTGCAAGCAATAGTAATTCAAACTAAGAACGTCGAGAATTAAAATGGATTTAGGTGCTATTTGGTTGGGGGTTTCTTAAAATTTTCCCATCCAAATCAAGCTGGCAATTGTTGATTTCCTTGTTTGGTAGAGAGTTTCTTAAAATTTCCCCATCTATTCATATTGCATAGCTATACAGATTTGGCCTTTGAAATGGAGCAATTATCACTGTTTAAAAAGCTTGCTTCGACGTAGTTTTCCTTAGTTAGATGGGTAAGTGGAAGAAGGTGGAAGTTGACCCAGACCAAAATACCCTCAGGTTACCAAATTTTCCTGGTAAATTTTTTTCAACCAAACAACTTTTTTTACATTTTCCTACCAAACTCACTTTCCAAACATTTCCCTAATAATTACATTTTCCTAGTATTCAAAAAATTTCTCCTCAACCAAACGCCCCCTTAAAGAAATCAATAACGAGACTGTAGGTACAGAATATTTCTCCTCTAATCCTCCTTGAGTAGTTTAAATTAATTTCTATAACAATTTATCTCAACTGTTTCAAACAATTCATCTTCTAATTAATTGATTAGTTAAATCCTAATTTCTTAGTGACTTTAACCATATAACCTAATTGGAACCCAAATGTCTTAGTAATTCCTTTCCTTCAGATTAAGCATTAAGCTCTATGAATTATAAAAGTTTGCAATTCCTACAACTCTGTCTAGATCATGCAAGAACTAGTGTTTGACCCTGTCAGAATTAAAATCTCAACATGTCTATTGTGAACCATAACCCTCAAATCCCTATAAGAGTGATCAATTCATGCAAGAATGTATAAAATAATTCTAAGATAAAACACAAACAAGTTGAGAAAATTTATTAAAGAAACAATTTAAATCACAAAAGGATTCACTTTGGATCCATATCCCTAACTATAAAAGAAACTTAGTAAGACATATCTTGTTTAAACAAATTCAAGAAATAAAAAGAATAAGAAGAAGCCATGAACAAGAAGAAGAATGGAAATTAATGATGTTCAATTTCTTCAAGCTTCTCTCCCTGAAGTTCTATGATATCCACCTCTTGTTCTCTTTATCCTCATCTGCAGAAAATAGCTCAGCCAAATATGCTTTCATAAGGTTTTGGTTCTCTTTATATAACTCAATTCCAAATCTCTATCAAATCTTCAAAGATATCCTTTTTAGATGCATCTTCGAATCCACTTAAGTAAATCACGTGCTCCTGGTGCCAGTCCCGCACTACTGGCGTCGTGAAACAGTGGCTTCACCATATTATGCACTTCTAGTGCGGACTTGGCGCAAGAGACTTAGATTTTCCTTTCTTTTGCTCTTGTGATTTGATCTTTTTTCATGTAATTTTTGTTAGGAATGTGGCTTCCATACTCAAGAGGGGGGTGAATTGAGTATTATAAGATTTTCGCAAAAGCCCCCTTCTAGTTTCTAAATAATCAATTCAAGTAAACTTTGATATGTGGAAAGCTAATCAATGCATTCAAACAATCCATAACATATAATGTATCACAATTATTGAACTTATACTAGCACATACAAGATATCAAAGAAGCAATTAAAGCGCTAGAAATAAAGAGTTTAGAGAATTGCAAACACTATATATCCTGGTTCGGTCACCACTACTTGTGACCTACGTCCAGACTGAAGCCGCTCGATCAACTCTTTCATTAATGGTCAAGCTTCACGGGTGCTTGACAAACCTTTACAATCTTCCAAGATTTCGGGTTCTTGGATACCTTTCAATCTTCAAGTTTACGGGTACTTGGTAACCTTATAATTCACTCCAAATTTACTTAGGTATTTGGCTACCTCTCAAACAATGGGTTTCACAACCCTTTCAACTCAAGAATACAAGAAGGAAAATATTAGGAAATGAATATACACTCTCAAAGTGTGGATATACAACTTGAAGCACTATGGGTATATGATATTTCAAAATATGAGCTCAAATATGTTTGATCTTTGAAAGATAACAAAGAATATGCAAATGATAGTGTAGAAGCTCTCAAATCATCCTTAAGATGTGTAGGAATGGTGATCAATTCGTTTTAGGGACATAAGGAATGTATTTATAGTGATTTTTCATAAAAATAGCCGTTTATAACCGTTTAAGGATTTCTGCTCAGTAAGTAGTCGAATACTTTTCGTGAGGTATTCGAATACTTCATCAGGTATTCGAATACTTTATTCACAACAAGAACATTGTTTTGTATTTTCGGCATAACTTGAGTTATACTTGTCGGATTGATATGATCTTGGTCCTGCTAGAAATATAAAAGAAAGATCTACAAATTTTATGAAGAACACAAGATCTAAATCCATCATATTAGATACGAAAATTTGTATGGAAGGAAGCAACAAAATTAAGCAACAAATTTTAAGTTCAAATGTGTTCAAGTTTGCTTCCAACAACTTTTTTTGTGAAAGATCTTGACTTGATAAATATGTTTTGAAGTTATAAAATATGTCAAGGATCTTTTTTATGGGTTTTTCAAATTTCTTTCAAGTATATAAAGGTTATGATTATACAATTTGAAAAACATGTTTACTTTGAGAAAAACTTTGAGCTCATGCAATGCAATCTATCATATACCCTCACATATACTCTAAGTCCTAAAGATATATTACAAATATGATTTTAGACTTAGCTTCATGTCTTGTGTCTTGGATCTTTACCTGAACTTGATGCTTTGACTTGTTGAATATGACAATGATTGACACTTTGTTGGTTTTGATCATTTTTCACCATGGTTATGATATTGAGCTTCTCTTAGATGTTATCCATGGTTAGTTGTCTTTGATCTTGGTGTTGCTCTTCTAATTATTCATTGTTGCTCTTGATCCAATGATCTTGCCACTTTGATATGACATCACTTCTCTTGTGTGGCTACATCATACATCTTCAATATCCACATATGGTTGATGTTTTTTGCTTTTGATCAAAGCTCTTCTCTTTTTTGTTGTTGCCACTTTTTTATCGTCAAAACATACCTTGTATCTACAATTTTACCTACAAAACACAAGATTTCCATAAGAACAAGTTTGAGCATGGATTATTCTTGCTCTTTTAGCCTTTAAAACAACATATGTTGAAGGCATATCACATGTCTTATTGACTGTTTTAATGACGACAAAGCTTAAAAAACTTTATATCTTATTTGATTGTTGAAATAATATAGATATTAAACCAAAAAAATACAAGACAAAGTAAATCTTTAAGTTTTGAGTAAACACCCTTCTTAGTCCCTGTCAATATCTACGAAGTCCTTTTTAGTCCCTGACAATAAAAAAGGACCAAATTGGTCCCTGAAATTACAAAAAAAGGGCCATGTTAGTCCTTATGTCAACTCCCAAATATGTAGAGTGGCCCTTTTCTTGTACTTTCAGGGACCAATTTGGTCCTTTTTTATTGCCAGAGACTAAAAAAGACTTCTTAAATATTGCCAGAGACTAAAAAAGGTATTTACTCTTAAGTTTTTGTTAATCGTTAAATTAAGTTATAAAATTTTATGCACAAGATAAAAAACAAAAACACTTTTTTTTCTTTATTATCCAAGTTCTATTATGTGTAAAATTATATAACGCAAAAGATATAATAATAAATTTTCTTTTCTTTTATTTATTAATATAATAAAATAATATTTGTATAATTTTGAAATCTCTACCATATTCTAACTACTCTACCCCACTTAGGGATGTGCATGGGTCGAACCGAATCAGTTTTTTTGAAAAACTGAACCGAATTGGTTTAAATGGTTCGGTTCGGTGGAAAACGGTTCAGTTCGGAATCGGTTCGAAAATTGTTCGGGTCGACCCTATTTTGAAAAGAAAAAATTAAAAATTAAAAAAATAAAGTTATAAAAATCAATTTGGTTCGGTTTGAAAACGGTTCGATTCGGTTCGGAAACAGTTCGGTTCGGTTCAAAATGGTTCGGTTCTTAAACTGGTTCTAAAAACTGGTTCGATTCTTAAACTGGTTCAAAAAACCGGTTTGATTCATGAACTGGTTCTTTAAAAACCAGTTAGGTTCATGAACTGGTTTTTAAAAACCGGTTATTTTAAGGGCCAGTTCGGTTCAGTTCATGGTTCAGTTCAGTTTTTTGGTTATTTTGCACATCCTTAACCTCACTACCACTACCTACTACCATCATATATTTATTTAGTAATTATATATATATACAGGATCATTTGACACCAGTGTCAAATTTTAAATTTGACTCCTCATCTAAGAGCCATTTGATCAAAAAAGATCGATGTTGTCACAAATCATAGTCGTTGACTCCTCATCTAAGAGCCATTAGATCAAAAAAGATCAATGTTGTCACAAATCATAGTCGTTGACACTGGTGTCAAACGATCCTACCAAATATATATATATATATATATATATATATATATATATATATATATATATATATATATAGAGGTAGGATTCTTTGACACCGATGGAAATTTGACACCTCGTCTAATAGCCGTTAGATCATCTTATAATCAGAGTCGATGATCTTTTTTGATCTAATGACTATCAGATGATGTATCAAATTTCAAATTTGACACTAGTATGAAAGTATCATATCCTATATATATATATATATATATATATATATATATATATATATATATATATATAGAGGGGGGGTAGGATCCTTTGACACCGGTGTCAAATTTGAACTTTGACACCTCATCTGAGAGCCGTTAGATCAAAAAATATCAACGACTCTGATTTGTAAGCATGTGATACCATTGATATTTTTTGATCTAACGACTCTCATATGAGGTGTCAAATTTCAAATTGACACCGGTGTCAAATGATCATACCCTATATATATATATATATATATATATATATATATATATATATAAAGGATTTTTCAAGTTAATGGAGATAAGTTATCTCCAGTGAGCCCATAATGACGTCATTTTAGGGACGAAAATCAAAATATTTTTGTAATTTTAATATATTGTAAGGTTATATTAGTCTTTATCATTATAATTTTTTAATCTTATAACCCGAAAAGACATCGTTTTGAGCTCATTGGAGGTAAGCGACTGGAGAAATACTTAATATATATATGGGAAAAACATTTCTCAAGCTGCTTGAGATAAGTTTATCTCCGGCCACCCTAAAACTACGTCGTTTTGATTATTTATTTCCTTAGATTTATTGATTCTCCTTTGAATGTTATGATTCCCTTTTTCTTTCTCTTCCTTTATCACCATTGATCCATCTTTGTACGGTTATGATTTAGTAGCCGAAGATAAAGTTATCTCCGACAGCTTGAGAAATGATAAGCCCTATATATATAGTGTTTATTAAATATTTAACATTCAAATAGTTTTTTTATTTTTAAAATATTTGTATGTATTTAATCCAAATATAAAATAATTTTGATTTAAAAAAATAAAGCATAAAAAAATTATTATTTTTTGTACATAAAAAAATCTATTTTTTAAAGTGCCTCAAAGGGACTCTAGATCTTACTCTCTTATCCATATATTATCATGACCGCTGTATTGCGTTGCTGGTTTTTTGGACTTGGAGGCTCACCCACAACTAATGAAGAAGAGTAGCAGTGTCAGTACGTCTGGACCACGTGCTGTTGAGTCATTGCATGATTGTATACCCATTCAAGCTTGAACAAGTGTGTAAGTTTTAGATAGAAATTGTTAATCATATAGTGATAGCCATTTCGTTTTATATATTTTTAATGGGATAATGGACTCTCATTCAATAAGAGATGATAATCTCTTACTACATACACAATCTTAGTAAGTCACACACTTAAAAAAAAAACAAATGAAAATACAGACTTAAATCTCTATAGACGTGTGACGTGATGAATGTTTTTTTGGAAAAGTGTTTATCATTTTAAATAACACAACTTGTGTCATTTCACTTTCATAAAAGATGAGTCTCACACCTTTACTTTTTTTTGTTCATTCTTTCTCTTTTTATCTATCTCTTTCTCTCACTCAAAATCACACAATTTTACATTAGTAGACACTTTTCTCACATTTTCTTATACAAATTTCACACTGTTGAACATGCATTGCTCTAAACTTTTTCAGTTAAAGCGGTAGATAGTAAATTCACTAATAGTCACCCATACAGAAACTGACACGTGCCGGTTCGTTTCACTTTCCTCATTACTCCTCCTTTTATAATCTAATCGCCGAGAGACACAGAACACTAGCCAATTCTTTCTCATTCTTGTTCTGTCCTGTTAGCTTTTTATTATGCTATTGAAGTGACCAAAGATGAGTACTTTGTGTGCAAACGAGGATGTTTCAGTTTCAGTTATGTTCATGTCCCAGAAGAGATAGAGTGGCACATGCTTGACAAGTCCAAGTTCTTCATCCTAGGAGCAGCTTTGTTCTCAGGTCTATCAGCTGCTCTTTACCCTGTTGTTGTGTTGAAGACACGCCAACAAGTTTCCTCAGCAAACATCTCTTGCCGAAACATGTCTTCTTCCATCATGCTCCACGAAGGTTTTAGATGTTTCTACAAAGGTTTTGGCACTTCCTTGATGGGAACAATCCCTGCACGTGCGCTTTACATGTCAGCACTCGAAGTTACAAAGAGCAACGTTGGCAATGTTACTGTTCAGTTGGGGTTTTCAGACACCACTGCCATGACCATAGCTAATGCTGCTGGAGGGTTAGCTTCTGCTTTGGCTGCACAATTAGTGTGGACCCCAGTTGATGTTGTAAGCCAAAGACTTATGGTTCAAGGAAGCTGCAAAAATGTTTACAAGAATAGTTTTGATGCTTTTAGGAAAATTCTATGTGCGGATGGACCAAGAGGGTTCTATAGGGGATTTGGGGTTTCAATTGTGACTTATGCACCATCTAACGCGGTTTGGTGGGCTTCTTATTCAATGGCACATAGGCTTATTTGGGGTGCTTTTGGTTGCTATATGGGTAAGAGGGATCATGAGCGTGGTTTTGTTAATGGTTGTGATTTTAGGCCTAATTCAAGTGCAATGATAGGTGTACAAGGTTTGAGTGCGGTTATGGCTAGTGGAATTTCAGCAGTTATGACTATGCCACTTGACACAATCAAGACAAGGTTGCAGGTTTTGGATGCAGAGGAGAATGGACGAATGAGGCCACTAACTTTTGTGCAAACAGTTCGGAATATGGTGAAGGAAGGTGGAATCTTAGCTTGTTACAGAGGATTGGGGCCAAGGTGGGCTTCAATGTCCTTATCTGCCACAACCATGATTACTACCTATGAGTTCTTGAAACGGATTTCTGCCAAGAATGTAGACAAATTTACTGCATAATAACTCAAGCAGTCAAGAAAATATATAAGAATTATTAGGATATAATTTAGTTCCTTGTAGTTTTTTTTTTGTTGGACTTGTTTCAAGTTTTAGATTGTTATACCCTTCCTAATTGGTCATCACCAAATAACTCGTTTTTCACTTATCACTTTTGTTTTTGTTTTTGAAGATATGACTTTAAAATATAGAAGGATACCATTGAAGTGGATGTTTTCTGGAAATTGGCTTTTTGACCTCACAAATAAGCTTTTCGAAATATTCCAACAATTTACTTCTTTGATCAAACGTATTATCGAACTAATACAAGAAGACACATATCAGGTGGCTACGCGTTTAGCCGCACATCTAACACATGTGTTTCATGAGATTACAAAAGTGAGACATGCACATATGCCTCTAGACACGTTAGTGCCAGATGCACGTCTAGATACATCAATATTAAGTGCACGTTTGGGTCGCATTTCGTAATACGTGTATGTGTAAGATGCGCAACTATACACTAATCACTAATGCGTTCCTTCCTCCGTTATTTCGGTAATAGGTTTGGCCAAAAAAGGTCAAATATTTCGAACAACGTATTGGCACGGTCAAAAGGCCATGGAAATTTAATAGTACCCTGACAAACGGATATTTAAAGTGGACAAACAATAGTTTTAATCTTTTTTTAAAAGATACGAGTAACGCCATTTTAATTTATCCTGCAGCATAAAGTTAATACTGATATAATTCTTTTATCAAAATAGTCTTTTGTGCATAAATCATGAGAATTTCATTGATGAAGTTTTATATTTAAATTCTTTTATCAAAATAGTCTTTTTGTGTATAAATCATGAGAATACTTGATTTTCAAAAATTAAGGTGTTATTATATTAGTTTTTTAAATATTTTGGTCACAAAATTAGTTATCATAAATAAATTTTAACAGGAAATCCTTTAAAGATACAAAATACTTAATAAATTCTTGAGTAAAGCCAATTTTGAGTCCCAAAGATAAAATACGATCCTTACTTTAATTCTTTATAAAAAAAAATTAGTCATCTGATCTCTATGAAATTCAAAGTGGATTCATTTTAGTCTTTTTGAGAAATTAATGTGGATCTTTTTTGCATTTGTGAGGAACTGCGATTTCAACTAAATGGATCCACTTTGAATTTCTTAGAAATCTCGAGACTAATTTTTTTCTAAGAAACTAAGGTGGAGATCATATTTTTTGTTAGAGATCCAAAATTGACTTTACTCTAAATTGTTTCTTTTTATATCAACCATTTAGTCTTCTACATGAATAAATATCATAACATTTTATATTTTTGAGGATTGATTTGACTATAAAATCTTTAAAAGACTAATGTAGTGCAAACACATATTTCAAAGGACGAATGTGATAATACTTTAATCTTAGAGAACCAAACCTTAAGTTTTAATTTTTCAGCAAAGACTAAATAGTGCCACTTTTTGTTATTACTCAAAAAAATTGTCCTTTTTTTAACAGTTTTCACTATCTAATTTTTTTTAAAGTAAAAAGACTGATATATATTAAGTGTTTCCTATAATTAAACTTGTTTTACTCTAGAAATTGTATTGAATTTTCTCACCTCTTCGGGATGGTTGGAAGCATGGGGTACCTGGCCTTTACGGCCTTCAAAGGACACAAGACATAGGTCTCATAACGCACTAGAGGGTCTTCCGAAATCTGACCCAAACTTGAAGTCCAATCTTAATTTTTTATAAGGTTTTTTTCTCTTTCTTTGATTTTTGTTTGTCTGTTCTACTGCAAAACCACAGCCACTCTGAACCCGATTTTTCTTCCCCATTAATTTTTTTTGTTTGTTTGCAATTTGGCATTGTTAACATCTGATAAATTCTTCTATAGTTCTTGTTTGGGAATTTTTGAGTAAAAATTATACTCACCCTTAGGAAAGCATACAAGAATTATATATATATATGTATATACTAAGCTCATTTTCCTCCTGAAATTGTTTGATCCTGTAATTAAACTCCAATTAGGATTGAAGAGGTTGATAATCTTCCTTCTCTTCATTTTGTTTCAATTATTTCCCCTTTCTTCCCCTTTCCAACTCCCGAAATATACCCTAATGGCTGCCCTCAAATGAAATTTTGGAACGTCAATCTTTAAACCCAAAATGCATAGTTCATGAATTTAAAGCCTATACATACAAAGTAAACAGTAATATTAAAATATGATGTTGACCATGTAATTTTCCATATTTTCTCTTATATAGCAATTTATCCAAATGTTGACTATATAAACGTAATAAATAAACGTTTACATTAAAGACAGGTTCCCATACTAGTGTCAAATATGTATTATGTTGGATACTTCTAGTCTCCATACTACAATTTTTTTATTTTCTTTTAAATTGATAGGTGTTACAAAATGGAAGACTTTTTGTATTCAGAAATGGTAATTCAAATTCCGAAAACTATTGACATTTATCTCCCAATTTATGATTCTAACCATTGACATTTATCCCCAAATCTTGTAACTCTATATAAATGGGTATCATCATGCTAATAGATAGTGACATTTTTCTGAGTACACTCTCTTATCTTTCCTTGAATTACTCCCTAACTTTCTCTCTAATTTTACTTGCTCTGATATGAATTTTCTTCTCTTAATACCCTTTTTCTATAACACGTTATCAGCATAACTAGCTCCTTTAAAGAAAAATTTGCAACGACACATTCTTTAAAACCATAGCCTCTTTACAAAAAGAAAAGAAAAATCGTTCTTGATCCTCAAAAGAGAAAAAGGAACAACCTTTTTTTTTTATCTACAAGGTATTTTTGTCAACAAGGTAGTACATTCTTCCTTTTACTCACCTTCTACCATTTTTTTCTTCCCTCTTTTTGATCTTAAATTTGACATATCACTTTGTCCTTGAAGTGATAGTAGATTTTTGTTCCTGAAGTAGCAGTATCATGGCAATCATTAAGAAGCCTAAGTTCCACATCCTGGAGGTGAGTGGTAACAATTACTTGTCTTTGTGTCTGGACATGGAGATGCACCTTCATGGGCAAGGTCTCGCTAATCCTATTACAGAAGTTGGAAGCTCTGATGAGAAGGGAAAGGCAAATGCACTTATTTTTATCCATCATCATTTGCATGAGAGCCTGCAGATTCAATATTTGTATGTTTGAGACCCTCAAATCCTCTGGAAGAGGTTGAAGGATAAGTATGATCATACCAAGACTTGGATGCTAGTAACAAACAAAGGAAAAATAATAAAGCAAGCTTCACACTAGGATACTCAAGGAAAGGTAACCTTTCTCTCGATCCTCATAGAGAGAGAAGGAGAAAAAATTCTATGTACACTATGTTGGGTCAACTGGAGGAGCCAAAAGACAAGGTTGAGGGTGAAGATGGAAAAAATAATGGCCCAAAAGAGGTGGAATTAGGTCAAGATAGTTTGGACAAGGAGCCAGTGCAAAAGTATAAAAGAAGAAGTAAGTCCTCATCTCAATCACTGAAACTTCTTCTTCTGCATATATCGTGGTAGGAGACGCCTCAGATGATTTAATTAGAGCAAATGACATGGAGGTAAATGGTAGCCCTCAGACTATAAAAAAGAATGAGCAATCTCAAAACACTAGTCCATCATGATAGTTGATGAACAAAATGTTGAGGAAGAAGCTCCTGCAAACCTAAACCAGGAAGATGAGCCAAGGAGGAAATCGGAGGCCCCTTAAATCTAAAAGTCAATTCCAACCCCATCCAAAGGGCTGACTACCCAATGAGGACAAAGAAGAGTAGAGCACTTGAAGCACCCTGCCCCAAAGCCCCCCCTGATAGAGCAACCAGAAGAAATGAAGGGCCTGACAATCAAGGAGAGAGCAGTTCACTTGTGCAAGCATGACAAACATAAATCAAAGAAAAGGGATTAGCAGGGATACCTAAAACCTGCATCTTCTTACTTTGGTATGTAATGTCTTGTTTTTTTTTTTTTTTGGAATGTTAGAGAGGCCGCTAAGAAATTATGGCATCCCCTTAAGCTAATGATTGCAAAATATCGTATTGGTTTGGTTATCCTGCTGGAAACCATAACTGAGAGTCCTAATGGTTAAAAACTTATGAAGTAGCTTTTATGGCTATTGGATAGAAGAAGCACAAGCTTTTTCAAGTGAAATATGAGCCATCTAGTCATCCAAAAGCATAGAAGTAGATATTTTAAATCAATCTAAATAGTTCATACATATGAAAATTAGAATCTAGGGTTGTGTCCAATTCTTGTACACTGCGATTAATGCAAGCCCAAGAGAAACATAACGTCAACAACTTTGGTTCTAAACATTGGATCATAGGGGGACATTAATGAGATTGCAGGGTTGTATGAAAAGAAAAGAGGCATCCTTGTAAGGAAGTCTGAAGCTTTTAACTCAGTCCTAGAAAACTATAATGTGGTATACCTTGGTTGGCTGGCTGTCAAATTATGTGGCAAGGGCCCAAACGGGGTCATATAGATAGAGTATATAAAAGGTTGGATAGAGTTGCTGCCAATTTAGTTTGGAGGATGGAGTATGATGGGGCCAAAGTAAGAAATTTGCCTAGAATCTATTCAGACTACAATCCAGTTCTTCTTGATTTATTTGAAAAACCTTCTAATTCTCATTATGAAACTTTTGGCTTTGTTGCTGCATGGCAAGACCCCCCTTGATTTTCAACAGATAATGAGGTCCATAGGGAATAATACATTTGATGTGTCATATATGCTTCGGCATTTTATACCTACAGTAAATGATTGGAACAGGAACATTTTTGGGAACATTCAAAGGAAGCATGAGAGGTTATTAAAGAATCTTGAGCGCATCCAAAACTAGAGAACTAATTTTGAGTAAGAAGAGTTGAGGAGGATAAAGGAAAATTGCCAAATGGAGATTGGAAAAATCTTAGATGAAAAGGAAAAGCTTTGGTTCCAGAAGTCTAGACAACAATGGATTAAAAATGGGGATCGAAACACAAAATTTTATCACCTCTGAACACAGAAATA